CCCCCTGGGCCGTACACCCCCAGCGTGTGTCATTAACTGTCGTCATTTGTACCTCAATAATGCTGCGCGGTTTTTAAGATCTTATTTATTTATTCGCGAGAGACACAAAGAGAGGCAGAGACCCAGGCAGAGGGAGAGGCAGGCTCCACACAGGGACCTCAGCAAAGTCTAAGGAAGGAAGAAAAATACGCCGAGTTCATGGGTCAGCAGCCTTGGTCTTGCAAAGACGTAACATTTCCCCAAATTAACCGCTGAAGGGGGGAGCCCTGACCTGACAAAGCGACTCTAAAATTCACAGGGACCTGCCTGGGCGGCGGCGGTCAGCGGATCGGGCCCATGCGGGTCTCAGCGCCGCCAGCCGCGGGGACAGAAGAGCTCGGCCAGGAGGGGACTCTGCTCCCCACAGGCCTGGCACAGGCGGCAGGAGCCTGCGGGGGTCGTGGGGTGAGGGTGCCCCAGGCTGCCACGGGAGAGGGGAGGGGGGAGGGTGCAAGTGCGGCCCCAGGGCTGGACCTTCCTCGCCTCCATCTCGGGGACAGGAGGCTGTGGCCAGTGTCCCTGCTCAGCCGGGAAAGGCAGAAAGGAGGTGGAGCCCCCATGGCGGGGAGGGGGGTGCAGCAGGGGAACCCCCAGGCCCGGCAGCTAGAGGTGAGGCCTGTGCAGGGGGAGCAGGAGGGCGAGCCCCTGAGGCCCTGCCCCTCGGCTCTGGTCCAAGAAGAAGCCTGTCTGGGGGAGGCCGGGGACAGCCGGGGGGCCCTGCAGGGACGGGGTGGACGCTGACCATGGGGGGCGGGGTGGGGCAGGTGCTGGGCACCCCTGAGGTGGGCCGGGGGCCGCGGGTGACCCGAGGATTGGGCAGGAAGGACCCGGATCTCCGCATCCTGCAGTCAGGGCGGAGGCCCCACCTCGGATGTGAGGCTCCCCTGAAGAAAATCTCCAACCCCCCCCCACCGCGGCAATCAGCAACCCAGCAGGAGCCCAGCAGCCCTGGGGGGGGAGGCCATAGCCTGGGTGGGACACGGTCCACGGGGGGGGGGACATGGCCTTCGGGAGCCGCCAGCGGGGGGCCGTGGTGCCAGGCTCCTGAAGGTGGGGGAGGGGTGAGGCCCAGCCTCGCGCCCCACGGAGCCCACATGCCCCCCGCAGTGAGGCCCAGGGAGGCGGGGGGCGGACTCACGTCCACGCCCTGACAGCCCCCGTCCCTAAATCTACATCCAGAAGCAGCCCCTGACCACCCCGCCCCCCAAGTCTGCCGATCGCACCTGGGGCCCGCACCCCCTCCCCGGCCGCCCCTGGCCTGCTCTCCCGGGATGCTGTCCCTGCTCCAAGTCCGCCTGGTTCCAGCACCCGCTGGCCTAAGCACCCGCCACCCCCAGCTTGTTCCCTGCAGCCCCCCAGGACCCCCAGCCTGTTCCCTGCAGCCCCCCAGGACCCCCCAGCCTGTTCCCTGCAGCCCCCCAGGACCCTGACCGCTGGGGGCAGGACCCAGAGGCCAGAGCCCAGCTCAGCTGAGTGTGAACGAGTCACCTCGACGGCCGCAGAACGACCCTGGGGCCCAGGAACACAGGCGACCTGTGCCCACTCGGGCGCCCCGGACATCTGGGTGCAGGGGGCCAGGACCCTGCATCTGGGAGGCGGGTGGGCTGTGCCCGGGGCCGCAGGGCTCCTTCCCTGACGGCACAGGGACCGACTCCACAAGTGGGCGGACACTGGACCCCACGAGGCAGGGGAGCCCGTTGCCCCGTGTGGGGTCCTGGACACCTTCCTCTCACCTCCCAGGCCTCTTCACAGCCGGCGAAGGGGCTTCTCTGTCCACCTCGTGTGGCCCCGCAGGGACCCACTGGACATAGGGAGGCAGGTGGCCACGGGGCAGGACCAGGGCCTCAGCCCAGGCCCAGGGGACGCAGCGTGGAGCCCACTCGGGAGAGCAGGGTCTAGCCCACAGTGCTGCTCGGGGGTGGGGGCGCACATTGCTCCCGGGGCCCCTCTGCGACCCCAAGCAGCTGCGGCAGGGTAGGGGTGCCGCCTGTACCCACGTCCCCCCACCGGGTCACAGCTGCCGTGTGCCCACGAGGATGGCGGAGAGGGACACGTTTCCACGCTGGCCGAGGCGGCAGGTCCCGGGGGCGGTGGGTCCCCGAGCAGGGGCCTGAGGGGCTCCCCGGGCGGAGCCGCGGGTGCCGTGGGACGGCCCCTGGGACGGCGGCGGGGGCAGGAGCTCACTCCCGGCCGCCGCACAGCTACTGCCCTGCCTCCCCTCCCGCCCGAGCTCTGCCCACGGAGGAGCTGCCGGCACGGAGGTGAGCTCCCCTCGTTCCTCGCCGCGCGGCTGCCCCTAGGAACCCACGGGCGGCCGGGCAGGGTGTGGGCTCCGGGGCTGACCCGGGCCCCCTGAGCAGGTGGGGCCTCTCGTGCTTCCCCCAAGCCGGACGCCTGCTCCTGGGCAAGGCGGGCGGGGAGGAGGCAGCGGCGTCCGTCGGCGTCCCTGGCAGGACCTTAGCACACAGGCTCCTCTGGTTTTCTATCTTCCAAGCTCTGTCCTGGGTGTGGGGTCCCCGGGCATGCGGCCGCCAGGGCGGGGGGCATTCAGGGGGCCCCCGCCGAGGGCAGGACGTGGCCCTCAGAGCCCGCGGTCGCCCCCATCGGCGCTGAGGGCCAGGAACTGAACCACGTCCGCTAAGTCCCCGCCCCGGTGGCCCTGAGTCCTGCGGAGAGGCCAGGGAGCAGCGGCGGAGCCCGTCCGCAGGTGAGGGCTCAGGGCTGGGGCTTGAGAGCCGGGGGGGGGCTGCGTCTGCACAGGTGGGAGCCGACGGGTGCTCGCGCCCGCGTCCACCTGGGCCCGTGTGAGCCCCTGGTGGGGGTGTCCTGCGTGCACCACATGGGACGAGGGCCGCAGGCTTGTCTGGGACCTGCTGCTGCACGTGTCCGTCCCGCGAGGGGTCGGGTGTCTGTGGTTTGGGGGCTCAGCTCCGCGTCAGGAGCCGATTGTGCAGGCGTCTCTGCGACACAGCGTGAGGCTCCTGAGGCTTGGTGGGGGGTTGGCATCTGTCCCGGGGCCGGCAGAGAGTGCAGGGCACCCGCGCACGCGTGTGTGTGTGTGTGTGTGTGCGCGCTGGGGGCACGCGGACATGCAGGTGCCCGGAGTCCGCATGGGAACCCACATCGGGGCCGGTAGGTCAGGGTCCGTGGCTGCTGAGCACCACCAGGGCCGGCGGCGTGGGCAGGATCCGCATGGGGGGCAGGGGACGTGACTCTGCACCCGGCGAAGCTCGGGACACAGGCGTGGGAGCGTCACCGTGGAGCCGGGGCCGTCCCATCTGTCTGCTCGTGTCCGTGGGGTGCAGGCTCCCGAGGAAATCCCGTCCCCCCAGCCGCCCAGCGCGGTCACACTCCGCCCGGAGATAACCCTGGACCCGGTGGAGCTTGGTTCTGCGTCCAGCGGCTCGTGGGGGCACATCGGAGCGGACAGTCCCGCGGTCACCCCCTGCAGGTGCTGTTACCGGGTCCCTGCTTCAGGGCGCTGACCCCAGCGAGGTCCGACCAGGCCCCCTCCAGCCACATGGCCAGCAGCACCCGCCGGGCCGCACAGCCCCTCGAGTGGGTGTGGCAGCATCGCCACGGGGCGGCCGAGGGGCATGAGGCACTGAGAGGGCGGGCGTCCTGTCGTCCCGTTGTCCCGTCGTCCCGTCGTCCCGTCCCAGGCAGCGGGCGGGGGGGGGGGTCCATCTGCAGCCGCCACCCCCCCCAGGGCTCCGGACTCCACGGCCCCGTGAAATCTTTGCAGGGTGAAAACCGCGTGTTCTTGCGTGAGGCGGGCCCTGGGCGGCGTGAGGGGTCGAGGCCGGGGAGTCCCGAGGCTCCCGAGGAGGCAGGAGGCCGACAAGGGACAGGAGCGGGCCCAGGGCCGGGGCAGCCACCCTGCCAGGGTCTGGGCTCAGAGGCCCCCGGAAAGGGGTGTGGCAGCTGGGCCCGGGCACCTCCTGCACCAGGGCAGGCAGCTCCCCCAGCCGCTCGGCTGAGCTCAGCCCCCGAGGCCCGCGGGGCGGGATGCAGAAGAACCCGAGCAGCCGCCTGGGGGTTCATCCCGCGAGCCCCTGCCCATGCCCTCCACGTCCACACGGGTCTGCTCGGGCCGTGAGGCTCGGGGTGCAGGTAAGGAGCTGTGACCCCAACCCCGGGACGGACTTCGCTGCCTTTACAACGGGTTTAGGAGACGTGCACACAGCCGCAGCCTGCGGGGGCCCCGGGACAGGGCTCAGCCACATCGTGGGGAACCCCAAGGGGGACCCAGGGCCGCGCAAGGTGGGGGTGACGGGAGCCGACTTCCGTTTGGGGGAGCGGCCCTGTGGGCCCTCTGACCACAGTCCTCGTGGCGGCGCTGCAGGGGCCGGGGTCACTGAGGTCCCCGCACCCTGTGGCCGCCTCAGTGCACAACCAGACGGCAGCTGGTCGTGGGGTGGGGTGGAGGCTGGACCCCCAGGGCCCGTGGAGGGGCCTCAGCCCTGGGACCCGGACGGGGTGACCAGGGTGGGCCTCCTGCATCCCTGCACCTCCCGGACCCCGAATCCTCCCAGGGAACAGGTGCCCCGTGGGTGGCCGTGACCCGCGTGGCCGCCGCCCTCCTGGGGCCGTGCATGTCGGCAGGTCACCTGCAGGTGGTCACCTCGAGGACAGACCAGGAGCCCCGCTCGGGGCGCAGCCCTTCCCCATCCCCCCAGGCCGCTCCCTCACCCCCAGACCCACGAGACGCCCACCCAACCTGGGGGACGGTGGCCGCAGCCTCCCTGACCCTGTGCAGCCCGGGCCGGGCATGTGAGGCGTCCTCGTGAGCCCCGCACGGCCCCCTCCCCTCCACGTCCCCACCTCCCACCCGGCCCCTGGGGAACGCGAGGACGCAGGCGCTCCCGGGGGCCAGCCTGGGGGAGGCGGACCGGGTCGGGGCAGCGGCTCCCACACCCCGGCCGGCACCCCAGCCGCTGCCTCCGCCCCCAGGTGCCGCCATGTGCGCCCCGGACAACGGCTCCGAGGTGACGGAGTTCATCCTGGTGGGCTTCCCGGGCCCGGCGGGCTTCCACGCGGGCCTGCTGGCGCTCTTCTCGCTGGCCTACGCGCTCACGGTCACGGAGAACGCGCTCATCGTGGCGGTGATCCGCGTCAGCCCCGCGCTGCACAAGCCCATGTACGTCTTCCTGGGCCACCTGTCCTTCCTGGAGCTGTGGTACGTGTCGGTCACGGAGCCCAAGATGCTGCTGGGCCTGGCGGCGCCGCGCTTCCGGCGCATCTCGTTCGCGGGCTGCATGGCGCAGCTGTACTTCTTCCTGGCGCTGGCCTGCACCGAGTGCGCGCTCCTGGGCGTCATGGCCTACGACCGCTACGTGGCCATCTGCCGCCCGCTGCGCTACCCGGCCGTGATGAGCGGCCGCCTCTGCCGCCTGCTGGCCGCCGGCTCGTGGCTCTCGGGCTTCAGCGTGTCGCTGGGGAAGGTCTTCTTCATCTCGCGCCTGGGCTACTGCGGCCCCAACGTCATGAACCACTTCTTCTGCGACGTGTCCCCGCTGCTGAACCTGGCGTGCTCCGACATGTCGCGGGCCGAGCTCGTGGACTTCCTCCTGGCGCTGCTGGTGCTGCTGGGCCCGCTGCTGCTCACCGTGCTGTCCTACGGCGCCATCGTGAGCGCCGTGCTGCGAGCCCGCTCCGCCGCCGGCCGCCGCAAGGCCTTCTCCACCTGCGCCGCGCACCTGGCCGTGGTGCTCGTCTTCTACTCGGCCTCGCTCTTCATCTACGCCCGGCCCCGCGCCATCTACGCCTTCGACTTCAACAAGCTGGTGTCCGTGGTCTACACGGTGCTCACGCCGCTGCTCAACCCCATCATCTACTGCCTGCGGAACCGGGAGGTGAAGGACGCGCTGCGCAAGGCGGCCGGGAGGGCGGCCTGGGCCCTGGGTGCCCGGTCCTAGGGGCCTCCCCGACCCCCGCGCCTGGGCCGCGCCGGACCCAGCTTCCGTCCTGAGTGGCCCCGAAGTGAGGGCCCAAGGCGCCGTCCCTGGCGCGCATCTGAGCGGGACGTGCCCGGGACAGCACGCAGGGTGACCAACCCGACCCGGCTCATGGCCCCGGGTGCCCCGAGCGGCACCCTGTGTGGAGCCCCTGCCCCCTGCCCTCCCGGGCGCCACACAGGGTCTCATCCTGGGCCACTTCATCGCCGCTGCCTCCAGCGGGCCCACACCCCCGTGGCTGCAGGAGGGGACACCCGCTCCCCGACCCCGGGTGGGCACAGGGTGGCCAGGACGCAGTCCTGGCCCCACCTCCTTGCTGAGGCCCCAAGCAGCGCCAACCCCCGCTCCCGTCTAGCAGACCCCCACAGCCTGGTCGGCGGCTGCGGCACCACGACCCCCACCGGGCATGGGGGATATTCCCACGTGAACCCCGGAACTGTCTGCCTGCCACCAGCACCCCGGCTCCTCAGGGGAGCATCGCCGCTCCACACGGACCCAGACACTGGGGTGCTGCCGCCAGGGACCCGCACCCCCAGCCCCTCCTGCCCCCTCCAGCCGTCTGTCCGAGCTCCGTGGACCCGGCTCCCACACCCATGTCATCACCAGCGGGGACCTGGATGGGCAGGGGCTCCCCAGAGGGGCCCGCACCTGCTCTCCTGAGATGATGGGCGCCAGGGCTTCAGGGCGCACCCCAACCCAGCCGGGGGACGGCGGGGACACCGCAGCCCCCAGGGTGACCCAGCCCTGCCTGTGCCGCAGAGGCAGCCGGGGCGCGGCTCAGGAGTCTCCAGGCGCCGATGCAGGACATCCAGTAATAACGGTCAACCCTGCCAGCGAGGTTGGGGACCGAGTGCTCCTCTTGTGCAGTTGGGGACACCATGCTTCATCCTCGGAGCACACCCCGTGTCCGACCGGCCCGCCTCCAGCTCGGTGTCCAGGCACCCGGCAGCCAGGAGCCCCAGGGGGCAGGGGGTGGCGCCACGGTGGGGAGCTGGTGGGGGCAGGACGGGCAGGACAGCCAGGCTGCAGGGGGCAGGGGGCACCCGCCTAGGCCCGGGGCCGGGACCGTGGCACAGCCTCCCCCGCAGACGCTCCTGCCCGACCGACCCGTCGTCGCCGCTCCTGGTCGGGGCCTCGGGGCTCTGCGGGACAGAGCCAGCGCCCCCAGAGAGCCCGTGAGTCTGCGTCCCCGCACCGCCCCTTCCACACGGATGTCACTTCCAAGTAAACCTCTGTAACGTGGTGGCTTTAAAAAACACGGTAAAAACACTACCGGCTCCCTGGTTTGCCCATGAAGCGCCGAGTGGTGGGCACTGCCGGGCCCCCAAGTCCGCACACGGGGCACCCCCAGACCACAAGGCGCCGTGTGCAAGGCCAGGACAAGCATGACCCACGTCCTCCCGCAGAGGTGGAAGCGACTTTACACGGCAGCTGCCAGCGGCCAGGGAGACCCCCGAGCACCGGGAACAAGTTGGGGGCCAGTCGGGCGACCAGTGCCCACCGGGGAGGGCATGACCGTGGAGCAGCTGGGGCTGCTGGGCAGACGCCCCAAACCCAAGACCCCAAGAAGCCCCAGAGCGGGGAGGGGGCGGCGGGGGGCCTGGGGGGAGCTCGGGGAGCCCTGGGAGCTCTGACTGGGCTTGTCCTCCGCGGGCGGGGGCGGGGGGGGCGCCCGGGCAGGCCCAGGGGCTGGCGCTCCGCAGCCTCCACCCCGACAGGCAGGCCTGTGGGCAGCTCCCCGGGCTCAGGGCCGCCCAGGCTCCTGGGGAGCTCCAGGGAGAGGCCGCCCGGCCCACGGGGTGAAGAGCCGGGGGAGCCGTGAGGGGCCCCCCGAAGGGAGCACGGAGGGTGCAAGCCCCAGGCTGCCCCGCAGCTGGGTAGGGGGAGGCCCCGGAGGGCGCCGGGTGAGGACAGGATGGTCCGCTGGGTCTGTCAGCAGGTGGGACACGGGGGGGAAGGTGGCAGCAGAGAGAACAGTCCCCGGGCAGGAAGGCCAAGAGCAGGCCCTGCCAGGGAGGGGCACCCCCTGCACCCATGGACCCAGCCCCGAGGCGCCCCCAGCCCCCGCCCGCAGCTCCGACCTGCAGGAGCAGGAGCAGCCCGTCTGCCCCCCGCCCCACACCCCCTCCCCCCGCTGGACTCTGAGCACATTGTCATCCCACCCCCTCCCCCCACACCCTGAGGCAGCGGGACCCCCTCCCGGCTCCAGGCCCTGAGGCCATCCTGACCCCCAGCGTGATGACTGCTGCCCCAGGGGGACACACGGCCCACATCACCCTGCTCACCGCACATCGCCAGCCCCACAGGGCTGTGTCTCTGTCCCCTCCACGCTGTCACCGAGCAGGACCCCTGTGGGGACCCCCGGGTCTCCCCACCCCCCACCCCTGTCAAGTCCGTGCCGCCCAATCCTCCCCAGGTCCCCAGCCTTCATCGGCACCCTCCTGGGTCCTGACCCCACGGCATCCCCCTCCCCCGATCCCCAGGGCTTCCCCCACGGGCTCAGGCCAGCACCAGCCCCACCCAAGGACACAGGAGGAGACAGTCCCCTCTGCCCCGACCCCTCCTACAAGCCTGACTCTCCGTGGGGCTCACACAGACAGACACCCCCTCCCCCTCCCTGGCTGCCCGGGCCCCCACATCCTGTGGACACGGTTCCCTGCACCTGCCCCCGGGGACTGAGGTGGCCTGCAGCCCAGTGACATGTGCTTTGTCCACACGTGCCTGGTGCAGGGATGGAGCAGCTGGCCAGGAGGGCGGGAGCGGGCCCACGGCAGCCACAGGGAGCATCCACTCAGCCCCCCAGCGTCTGGGCCAGCCTGGCCTCCGCTGTCCGCCTCAGGGCACCTGCCTGGGTTCTGCTTCCTCAGACCTCGGAGGACAGTGGGCGCACCAAGGGGCTGGGAGCCACCGTGGCACAGAAGGAAGAGGCCCTGCTGCTGGCGGAGGGGCAGTGGGGGGCCTGAGCCCAGGCCTGAGTGCTGAGCCACACCTGCCCCATGGCCACCCCTCGGCCGCCCCTCGCCCGACCAGCGGATGAGGAGTCAGAACTCCTGTGGCCTGGGATACCCTGTCCCCAGCAGCCCTCGGACCAGCCCAGCCCACCCAGGGCCCCCTCTGTGCTCCCCTGTCCCCAGCAGGCCTTGGACCAGCTCCAGCCCAGCCAGGGCCTCCTCTGTCCCCCCATCCCCATCAGTCCCTCGGACCAGCCCCAGCCCAGCCAGGGCCTCCTCTGTCCCCCTGTCCCCATCAGTCCCTCTGACCAGCCCCAGCCCAGCCAGGGCCTCCTCTGTCCCCCTGTCCCCATCAGTCCCTCGGACAGCCCCAGTGCACCCAGGGCCTCCTCTGTCCCCTCCTGTCCCCAGCAGCCCCTCAGACCAGCCTCAGCCCACCCAGGCCCCCTCTGTCCCCCCACCCACCCCCCTGGTGAGAACAGTGTTTGGTTAAAGATAGTGGATTGAGCACCACATGCTCCCTCCTCAAATTCCAGTAGAAGGATGATAAAGGAACCCACAGGATTGGGACAGTGACAGAGAGGACAGTAGCAACAGAGCTCCAGAAACTGGACAGATGGACTGGACCCTGCTGAGTGCAAGCCCAGAAGGCAGGGGTTTGCCCCACAGATGCCCCTGCGGCTGTCCTTACTTGTAGCTGGCATGATGAGCGAAGGGCAAACTCACGGCGCCTACAGTACAGCTTACCATTCAAAACCAGTTGTAGGGGGATCCCCGGGTGGCTCAGCGGTTTAGCGCCTGCCTTTGGCCCAGGGCGTGATCCCAGGGTTCCAAGATCGAGTCCCACGTCAGGCTCCCAGCAGGGAGCCTGCTTCTCCCTCTGCCTGTGTCTCTGTCTCTCTCTCTCTCTCTATCATGAATAAATAAATAAAATCTTTAAAAAAAAAGTTGTGTTTCTACAGAGCAGTAACCAAAAAACTGAAATGTTTTTTCAAATGCCATTCCCAGTACTATCAGAAAACATAACATAGCTAAGTGTAAATCTTACAAAAATGTGCAAGAACTGCAGACTCAAAACTACAAAACTTTGCTGAGAACATTAAAGACCTAAAAAAAAATGGGATGCAAACCACTGGTTGAAACACTCACGGTTGTTAAGATGTGAATCCCCCCGATCTGTGGGTTCCGCACACTCTCAGTCGGAACCTAAGCAGGTTTCTCTTAGAAATCTTACCAATCTGATGCTAAGGACTAGAATTCTCAAAGCAACTTGAAAAAGAGCCATGGATTTGGAAAACGAACACGGCCTGACTTCAGGTTTTATTACAAAGCCACCGTAATAAGTCAGCATAGGATCAGCATCAAGATAGACAAATAGACCCGCGGATCGGAGAAGAGAGACTACAGGAATGGAGCCACCATATAAAGACAGCTGAGTTTGACAAAAATCCAAAGAAATTTAGTGGAAAAGGATTAGTCTTTTCAGCAAATAGTGCTGGAAAAATTAGGTATCTCGATTCCCCAAAATAGGCCTTGATCCCTACCTCACACCGTATATACCGATTCCCTCATCAACCCGCCTAAGACCATACCTCCCAGAGGAGAATATCCAAGGGAATCTTTCTTACCTTGGTTTGGGTAGAAATTTCTTAGATATAAAAGCAAAACCAAAATCCATGAAAGAAAAAAAATCATCGAGTGGCCTTCGACAGAATTTAAATCTTCTGCTCTTCGGAAGGCGCAGTTACAACAGGGCGGATACAAGTCTGAGAGAAGATGATTTCAAATCACGTGTCTCGGCGGGAGGGCATGTGGCCTAGCGAACTCTGAGAACAGGGTGGGAGCTCCTGAGACGCTACACACCCCCACACACCCTCACTCTTAGGGTTTACGTCCTTTCAGACCCCATAAGTGTGTGTTCACGGCGGCTTCCTCTGTGGCAGCCCCCCGGGGGGGGGGGGCAACACCGGGGTCCACCAGAGGCGGGCAAGCTGTGCACGGCCGCGGTGT